GGCCTCGAGGGCCCGGGCGCGTGGGGCCCCGCCACGCTCGGGAAGGACGGGCGGCGCGGAGGCAGGCGTCCAGGCCTCCCGGCCCCGGGACACGTGTGCGAAACAGGGCTAGGTCCTGGGGGCGTGTGGCACGGTGCCCTGGCTCCCGGCAGTGCACACACTCGGGGCATCCCCGGAGCCCGGGTAACGACCGAGAAGGCGGCACGGAGACGTCCACGTAGAGGAAGCTCAGGCCGCAGTCAGAGCAGGAAGCAGCACCCGGAGAGATGAAGCCCGGTCACCGACGTCATGCCAGCCTGTGCGAGGCCTGCTTGGGCCCCTATCAAGAGATCTCTGATAACTTCGTCATTAAATACAGCAAGAGCCCGCCGATCAATGATTTTAATGGGTACTAATCACATACTTTTTACCATAACCCTGTTAATAACACTGATGGTGCTGAGAAGAGTTCCCATTACTATTGCATTAATCATTCCGTTTAAACCTATGCTTGGTGTAGTACCAAAGGTCAAAGGATTCCATAAAAGCACACTAGGAACTTTTTCATATGGCTTTTAACACCCCCATGGCCAAAGGGCCATCTGAGCCTATTTGAACCTTCCCGACACAGGTTAAATGAGTCTCTTATTTTGCCTATGATCCTTCCCTCCCCCGTCCTCCTTTTTCCACCCTCTTGTGTCTTCCTTGCTTTGCTGATAAATTATTGCTGTGCCTTGACACCGGGATTTTCCTTGAGAAGCTAGTAAACGGTCCCCAGGGGTTTAAGTTAGCCTCCTTCTACAGTAATAGTTATGCTGACAACCAGAGTTTAAAGTTGAAGTTATGTGAGGTAGATGCATAGTCTCTTCCTGAAAAAAAAAAAAAAAGAAAATACAGTGGGGTCAGTAGGTGGTGTAGTGGTTAAAGTGCTGGACTCCCATATGTTCGACTATGGTTCAAGTCCTGGACCTGCTGGCTTATTTCTCATTCTCCCTCTCTTTCTCTCTCTCTCTCTCCCTCTTCTGGTCAAAGTGAATAAATATAATTAAATAAATAATTCTTAAAAAGAAATTAAATACAGCTAATAAAATTTTATCTGGGGGGCTGGCAGGTGGCGTTGGTGGTTAAGGGCGCTGGACTCCCACATGGCCAGCTGTTGTTCAAGTCCCAGACCTGGTGGCTTGCTTTCTCACTTTCCCTCTCTTTCTCTTAATCTGTTCCTCTCTAGTAACATTAAAATAAATAAAGTTAAATAAAAATAATTATAGTTTTAAAAAGAATAATTTTTTAAAAATTTATCTGGATCCGTGTCTACGGAAGTGGCCATTTAAAATGGTCATTTACATTCTCAGCATCTAACATCTTCCAAGGGTCAGGACATACTATTTTCCACAGGAAATGAGCAAATAGTTCATTAAGACAGTAATCTAACACAGTTCTTCGGGGCACAGTTATGGAGAAAAAAAACTTTTTTTTTTGGTTTCTCTTCTGAAGATTAATATACAAAAAAAAAAACACCCTTACATGATAAATTGTATCCTGTATGTCACCCCCCCCCAAAAAAAAAAAAAAGACTCACCAAGCCTGGCAACAGGGAGAGGCAGACATTGCTTTAAACGAATGGATTTCAGTAAGAAGGGTTCTTAACCCTTCCCTTCTTAGAAAAGAATTGCTGACATATGGCCATGGTAGAAAAGCTAGCTCATCTTTCAAACACAGGCCATGGACTCGTTCATCTGGTTTATGAATACTTAATGATTTTCACTGTGCCTGGTAGTAAGTGAACACAATGCATGAATAAGAATATTTCCGGATATGAAATGTCTCCCAGGGAACTGAGGAATATTTTTGCATCTTTTATGATCTTTTCTAGTACATGTATGTGGTGGTGCAGTGATTAATTTCTGAAATACATGTGAAAATTATACCTACCTCTTAGAACTCAAATGATATCATCCAGCATTTTCAGGGAGGGAAAGGAAAACCGACCAGAGCTTTGTAGATTTTAATTCTAGTAAACAGAAGGTGAAGGGAAACCTCTCTGTGGGAAGTGGGCATCAGACATGTACAAAGGGACCTCTAGTGGCCAAACTGAGAGGATCTGCCCACTTAGCATAGTTGGTCCATTTGGTTATTAGCTGGAAATGCTTTGTGAATTAAAAGCAGTCCGATTTTTTTTTAATGCAACTTAATACCCGCCATCTTCCATTTTTACCAACGTGCAGCGTAGATGAGTCAAGCCTGCGGTCAGCTCACATACTAAGAGGAGTATTCTCCGTGAGAGTCATTGCTTCCTGTCTAGTGTCGAGGCACTAAAATGTTTATCTTGCTTCTAGATCCAGATAAAATGGAAGAGATACCCAGGGAACAAAAATATTTCCAGATCTTTCACTCTCCCAAGATGGCTCAGTTGCCCATCCTAGGAACCGAAGAGTCCTCAAACCTTCAGCGTCTACGTCCTGTCGCAGCTACTGCTCTACACGTTGTTATTAGAGATTTCGACACAAACTACAGATCATAACAGGACATCTATAATTTCTTTAGTGGGATTTAGAACTCCATGCGAACACTTCAGGACACTCCAGCCTTGTCTCGGGAGAAGGGACAGGGATGTTTTCCTTCCCATTCCCGCCCTTTCGGTCATCCCCCCAAACCCCGCCCCGCTTCCCGATTCCCGCAGGCAGTTTCGGAGCGTGCAGAGCAGAAGGGGGAGTACTTCAAAGTGATGTCACTCATGACTCCAGGATGGTTACCATGGCGACTATCAGGCATATTACGCTATCAGTGGGATAAAAGCCTCTTACATCAGCCTTCACGCCAGGGTTTCCCGGGGAATTACTCAGAGCCTAGAGTGTGCACAGGCAGGAAACGGCAGGCTCGGACCCCC